CTTCTCCTTCAGTTCAAGCCTTGGATCCTAATAACAGATGACTAGACAAGTAGATCAAGTCAGGCAGGAATCCCAGTGGACTATGATGTTTGCAGATGACATCGTGGTCTGTGGTGAGAACAGGAAACAGGTGGAAGAGAACTCAGAGAAGTATACACTTGTAAGAGGAATGAAAGTCAGCTTTAGTAACAACGTATGACCGGTCAGTAGCCCTCACCCTGATTTGAAAGTCTGCTCACGGCACACATCAAAGCTACCGTCAACATTAGCGAGGACCCACACCAGTACGCATACCGCAAAAATCGATCAACAGAGGACACCATCTCCTCTGTGGTCCACATTCCTCTCACCCACATGGAGCAGAAAGGCTCCTACGTCCGTATGCTCTTTGTGGACTTCACATCTGCCATGATTCTTCAGACTCTGATGGACAAACTACTCACACTAGGACTAAGCCCCTCCATATGCAACTTTGTCCTGGATTTCTTAACCAACAGACCACATGCTGTAAGGATCCACAACTTCTCCTCCTCCAGCATAACCCTCAGCACTGGCTTCCCCCAGGGCTGTGTGAAAAAGAAAAAAAGGAGACATATGGATGCAGTTAGAGAGGACATGGAGGTGGAGTGAGGACAGAGGATGCAGAGGACAGGGTGAGATGGAGGAGGATGACTCGTTGTGGAGACCCCTGCAAAAGGAAAAGCTGAAAGAAGATTGTTAAAAAATAAATATTTGGCAAATTCTAAACATATTTGAGTTGTTTTTCTTTCTGCGTTTTTTCAATTAAAAAAAAACTTTATTAAAACCAAAGGAAAATTATTTGTTGTTTTAACTCAATATCCTCATTTCATAGATACTGATGGCTGTAGACAGGAAGGATCTCTTGTAAAGGTCCATCCCACAGTGGATCCTAAGAAACTGGCTGCAGATGCCGTCCGATCCATCCACCCAGACTCGGCTGGCCTCTTGATTCCCCCGGGCTGTAGGAACACCTGAATGCTGGGCAGATACAGATGATTTACAGATGATTCTTATGTTTTCATTTGTTGTTGTCTGATTTAACTTTAATGTTCTTTAGTCAACTTTAGGAGTTTTAAATGAGATGTCCCTACACCCATCCATCCATTATCTTCCGCTTGTTCCAAAGTCAGGTCATGGGGCAGCAGCTTGAGCATGGAGGCCCAGACATCTCTTTCCACAGCCACCTCTTCCAGCTCTTCTGGGAGAACTCTGAGGCGTTTCCAGGCCAACCGAGAGACATAGTCTCTCCAGCGTGTCCTGGGTCTTCCCCAGAGTCTCCTCCCAGTCGGACATGCCCGAAGCACCTCCCTAGGGAGGCGCCCAGGAAGCATCCTTACCAGATGCCTGAACCACCTCAACTGGCTCCTCTCAATGTGGAGGAGCAGCGGTTCTACTCCGAGTTTCTCCTGGATAACTGAACTTCACCCTATCTTTAAGGGAGAGTCCAGCTACCCTGCGGAGGAAACTCATTTCAACTGCATGTATCCGCGATCTCATTCTTTCAGTCACTACCCAGAGCTCGTGACCATAGGTGAGGGTGATAATGTAGACTGACCAGTAAACAGAGAGCTTTGCCTTACAACTCAGCTCTCTCTTCATCACAAAGGACCGGCACAGAGTATGCAAGACTAAAGACACTACACCAATCCGTCAGTCAATCTCACGCTTCATTCTTCCCTCACTCTTGAACAAAACCCAGAGATACTTGAACTCCTCCACTTGAGGCAGAAACTCACCCTCGACTTGAAGAGAGCGATCCACCCTTTTCCGACTGAAGATCATGGCCTCAGATTTGGAGGTGCTGATCCTCATCCCAGTTGTTCACACATGACTATGAACTGTTCAAGTGAAATCTGAAGATCACGGCACGATGACGTCAACAGGATCACATCGTCCGCAAATAGCAGGGATAGAATCCTGAGGCCACCGAACTGGACTCCCTCTGGCACCTGGCGGAGGAAGTCCATCCTAAATGAGCTTTGAAAATAAAATTGACATTGCTCACATCAAATGCTCACTTCCCCCAATTAACCTGAGCTTTTAATTACAGTAATTAAAAAAAACAACAACAACAATGAAAAACTAATTATTTATTAGGTTTGCACCAGAGGATATTATCATATGGAGGTGTTTGTTTTTGGATTCAGTTATTCCAACTAAAAATATGACAAATCTCTTACAGTATATATACATCTATCTCTTTGATACGTTTTAATTTGTGTGCACTTGTCTCGCACAAGCCTGTGCACAGTCCACATCTCACCTGCCTCCAAGAACCTTTACCTCTGACAGAGGTGTCTGAGCAGAGGATGCTGAGGAAACTGCTCCAGGTCTTGAACAACACGTCACACCCCCTGCATGACACCCTGGACTCTTACTGCAGCACCTTCAGTCGTAGACTGAGACCACCGAGGTGCTCCACAGAACAACACAGGAAGTCCTTCCTCCCTGTGGCTATCAAATTTTTCAAATTATCCCCCTTTCTACACATAGGACAATAAAATTAAACCTGCATGCACTACAGTAAACACTTTAATGTTTCTGTCTGCACCTGTTTTGAACTTAAACGTTGGCTTTTTTATATATTCTTTATATCATGTGATTCCTTGTGTATGTTCCTTTGTACTGAAACTCTGGCACAAAAATTTCCTGTGGGATCAATAAAGTTCTATCTTATCTTATCTTCCAATTCATTGACTGATTGTTTCTATTGGTTTAAACACCTAATCCCTAATTGCTCCCTGGTGCTTAGCTGCCCACTGGTCCACCTGGGTGCATCTCACGTGTGAAGGGTTAAATGCAGAGAACTAATTTTGTTGTTGAATGGGAACATACACTGATGACAACACATAGCACTTATATTGATAAGATTGTTATTTTGACTAAATTTGTCAAATTCCAAAAAAAAATTCTGAGAACCATGTTTTCTTAATTTCCAATTTTGTGTGAAGAAGGATTCTTTTTTTTTTTTTTTTAGGAAAGGTGCATCACAATGTTTGTTTCTGTAGGAAGGCATAAAAAAGGATTACGAGAAAAATCAGGGATTATAAAAAGATTCAAGAAATTCTGGAAGCATTGGAGCAAATTCAAAGACAAGAATCCTCATTGATGCTTCACTGCTCAATAAGAAAAAATGACTCCTTACAAATGGAGGAAACACAAGCTCAGATCCTGTGAAAGCATCACCTTCAACAACAAATAATTTACAATTTTCAATCCTCTGACATATTATTACACTTTCATCACAGCCCCCACCCCCATCCCATGCAATCAGACACACTAGTAGTGAAAACATAATTATTCTATCAACACATATAACTACATTTTGCGACAAGCTTAATTACCTGTCATTTCTGGTGAAAAGGAAGAAAAGTTTATAATGAAACCATCGTTAAAGCTGAAATACAGACAGACTCATCATGTGGTTAAAAAAAAAAATCCTGTTTACTCACAGCCAGATCATTTTATTTACACTGTTCCAATTCCCTCTTCCATCAAAGTTTAGACAGAAAGTTTAATGCTCTTTCACGTAGTTCCCACTGGCCATTGTTTATCAAATTGAACCTAATTTTCTGGAGCTCTTCTTTCTACAACATTTTGTGCACGTGAGCACCCACAATCTTAAAGATGCATGTTTATAAAAACGTTTGTCAATTTTAGTTTTAATTTAAACGCGTTAAAAGCCCGGTTTCTTTCTTTCTTTATTGTTTTACATGTCTGCTGCAGGTAAAGTCAAACCCCGATGTGAGAAGTTTAGGGTGAATTTAGATGATCTTGACCCCATTTCTAACAATAAACCTCAGCACCTGCTGGCAGCAGCCTCTAAAATGACTCCACGGATTGTTTTCTTTGAGCCCCTTTCAACAGCAGCTCAACAAAGAGCACAGCTGTAACACATCATTATTTTTCCCACCAAGGTGTTAATTCAAAAGTGAGCATTGTCCAACAGGTCCTGGTTTATTTTCCTGTGCCACTCGGAAAACCAGACATCCAGACGACACAGTTCTCAGCTCTTTAAGTTAAGTCTGAGAGGTTTATGCACCTCCTGAACTCAATACCTGCTCCTTGCTTTAGGCAGCGTCTACGTTGGTGCAAGACACTGAAATAGCCATAGCTCAAGGCAAAAGATATCTTCACTTCTTTATTGATCGAGAGACCAGATCATCCTTTCATGTAAAGGACGGAAAAAGTATAAAAAGTTATTGATTTCATGTTGAAATACTCAAGACCTGATTTATGCAAGCTGCTGCCTACATTTGTATTTATATAAGAGGAACTTTGAGTGCCATTGCAACATAGCGCACACAAGAAAAGTTGCTTTTAGAAAAGGTTTATAAATGAGAGAAAAGTGCTTTTTAGGCACCTATTGAGAAAGAAAAACTCATATTCAGCCAATTATTGTGAAACTCGCTTAGCCTGCAGGCTAGGATTTGTTTGTATGTATTTATTTGTTAATTGTTAGGCTTCTTGATCTGGGACCTGAGCCCAAATTTCTTATATAAACATGTAAATGTGAGGTGGTAAAAAATCCTTGAATCCTTGATTTACTCAAAGTGTCTCTGTTATCATCACATTTTAGCTCTTGAGAGAAAAAGGAAAAAATGAGTCAACCTAATTTTATAAAAGGGGGATTTACAGATTTTTTTTTCTTTATAATGCTTTATAAATCATTCTAACTTATTTAAGAACCATTATAAGGTTTGATATGGAGGCAATCCTCATAATGCAAATAAAAGTGTAAAGCAGTCTGTATTTTTTCTACTGCACATCAGTCAACACGTTGCAAATGTTTATTTTATTAATAAATAGCATAACAAAATGAATGACAACACCTAGTAGGAATAAACTGGGAAGTAAGAAGATGCAGAAGTTGTAAACAGAAACAAAATGTTGACAGTTGCTGTATAAATTAGAACCGAGCAGTAAAGGCTGAATAATGTGTTGAATCCTTGCGCATGCGTTCCAGATGTTCATCAGCATCACTTTCTGCTTTGGATGTAGTTTTCTAAAATCTTCGTCAACAAATCCGCTTCCTGAAACAAAGAATGGAACAAACATCAAATCAAACTCCAAAGATCATTCTTGGAATTTGTGTAAAAAAAAAGAAGAAGAAGAAGAAAGAAAAACTTGACGGAAGTGATCTCACCTGGTTTTTGGAGCGGCTCTCGTGCGTGTCCACGCGCAGAAAGTGTTGGAAAAGCTCCCAGAGGGAGTTGTGCTCTGCGAGGGGGTTGACTTCCACCGAGGCCCCCGCCTGGTCCTCAGCTGAGGGCAGCAGGGGGGCGTCCATCACACTTTTCTTGCCCATGAAATGTCCTGCCAAACCAAAAGCAACGCGCGCTCATTCACCCTGAAGTGACTTGGTGTGCGTAAAAACTGGATTCTTTGAAAACACTTGACCCAGATGTTACAGAAAATGTGTTATTGGGAAGAATTCGACGCAACAAATGACAGAAAAGTGTGGACTGAAAGTGAGCGGTGCCTACCTGTTGCCCAAAGGTTGCCTCTCGGGTTCACTTTGATTTTTGCAACTTTGTTCCTGAGCTCAGTCAGGTCGAAACTAACCGCCGCGGTCAAAGACATGAAGGAGAACAAGACCAGGTATGTGAACAAGCCACAGTGGCAGACATATCTGAGGGGGAGTCCTCTCATCTCTGCAAGACGCTCGATCCAAAAGAGAGCTGGATGGTTCCGACTCATCCCGCTTTTATAGGCTCTCCTGGTCGGGGTGGGCTCTCAGCTCCTGTTCATTCAGCGCACCGCGTCAACGCGCGCAAGGATCAGAAGTAACCGGCTGTGCGTAATCACCAAAAGGAAAGGTTTCCAACACCCACCCACCCAAAAAAACGTCATTATCCCACCCAGATCAAATGTATTATTAGAATATTATTTTATAAAGCTTTATTATTAAACATGAGATGAAAATACTTAGAATTTTTGGATGGATGTCACCATTTCTTTGCGTAAAAACTCACATATAACACTTCACGCTCTCACTTCATCATATAAATGTTAATTTATTTATATTCATCCATCCATCCATCATCTTTTACCTGCTTCTTCCTTTTCAGCAGATGTCACTGGTATCCCCATACCCACCAGTCACTGTAAGAGAGGGGGGTGGGGGCAGGGAGCGCAGAACCACATGACAAACGAGACAAACAACATTATAAATATTAACTTATATTACACCAAATTCTGCAGTTTGCAGCTTGTAAAGCTTCATAAAGTGCCAAACAATGAAATGATTCTTTGAAAACAGTGCACTCAGTTGTAAATTCTGTGCTTTTGAAGGAGCAGTGTGACAGCATTGCTTCTCCTGAGTTAATGGTGGTATATTTTACATATTCTTTTACAGTGCAAGACTGTAAAATACTGCAAATAAATGATAATCCTCATTCAAATTGAATGAGGATTATCATTTGCATAAAAATCGTCCCAAATGCTTCATGCTCATCATACATCAGTTATTACACCAAGTCAAGTCAACTTTATTTATAGAGCACATTAAAACAGCAAATACAACTTGTAAAGTTGCTTAAACTGCCAATCATTCTTTAAAAGCTGCTTTTGACAACAGCTCAAGAGTTGCCAGGTCCCTTCTCAGCCCCCCACTCCCTTTCCAGGACCAGTTCTGGCTCCTTACAACCAGCAACCTGACATTTGGCCAGTTGAAGCACACTGTGGTGATCGTCAGTCCTCTCAGGACAGGGGGACCTGCTGATTCTTTCTGCTAATTTAGAGCTGATAAGACAGATGGCCTCTTCGTCACTTCAGGGTGCTAAAGATGGGAGGTATTGTGGGAGAGCTGCAGCTTCTGTCTTGCTCTTTTAATAACCTTTGACATTAACAGGCAGATTTAGCTAATTCTGCACAACTGAATGTCAGTCTCATTAGAAGACTGCCTGAACATCACAGCATCACCCACATCACACATCGGGATACAACACTTATCAGAAAATATTTGCATTCCAGGATAAGAGATTTAAACCTCACACATTTACGACTTATTTTGCTACAACCATTCATAAAAGTTGGTTTTTGGACCTGAGCATCTTAGGAATAAATTTTTCAGTCTTTCGATGGCATTAATATGTCCTCCAGCTCTAATGTTAAAAATCTTGGTTATTTTTGATCAGGACATGTCTTTTATCCCCCACATTAAAAATATTACTAGAACCGCCTTCTGCGTAATATCGCTAAAATTAGAAACATCTTATCTAAATATGATGCAGAAAAACTGGTTCATGCATTTGTCACGATAGACTGGACAATTGCAATGGTTTGTTATCTGGGTGTCCAAATAGTTCTTTAAAACGTCTTCAGTTGATCCAAAATGCTGCTGCCAGAGTCTTAACTGGAGTTAGTGGGAGAGATCATATCTCTCCAGTTTTAGCTTCTTTCCATTGACTCCCTGTCAAATCCAGAATATAATTCAAAATCTTACTTCTAACCTACAAAGCTCTCAACAACCTAGCTCCATCTTATATTATAAGTATATATAATTTGTTAAAAAAAAATCTGTATGCCTTTTTATAACCGTCTATTGTTGTCATCATCATTCTTTGTTGAAATCAGGTCTCTCTTGTAAATGAGTCCTCGAGGCTCAATGGGATTTACCCGTCTAAATAAAGGTTGAATGAATATTACAGATCTTGTTTCATATTTTCGCTCTCAGACTGCAGGCTTACTTTTGGTTCCTAGAGTTTCTAAAAGTAGAATGGGAGGAAGATCTTTCAGTTATCAGGCTCCTCTTTTTGTGGAACCATCGTCCAGTTTCTGTCCATGAGGATGACACATTGTCCAGTTTTAAGACTTTCCTTTTTGATAAATCCTAGTCGGCTTGATTTCCTGAATTATTCTTTATCCTATGCTGTGTAACCTTAGTCTACTGGAAGACAACTGACCTCATTTCATCAAATGAAGTCTGCATTTGTATTTATTCTTTCTTAACATATGATTTCTGTCTTATCTTTCCTAGAGAGAAACCTGATGGCCTCCATCCTGGACCTGCAGTTGTTTCGGTCCTCTCAGGCCCAGATTTCCACTTGTCCTGAGCCTGGTCTGGAGGTTTCTGCCTCATGGAGTTCATCCTTTCCACTGTTGCATCTGTGCTTGCTTAGGATGGGAGTCTGTGACGAACTGAAAACTAATGCTGGATCCTTACATAAACATTAACTTATTTTTATATATATGTATGTTTCTGTTCAGTGCCCTGATACTTCTGTTGTAAATTAGTGCTATATAAATAAAACTGAATTGAAAAATGAATTCGAACACCAATTTGAGTTTACAAAGTGACTTTTTAACTCTTTAAATAAAATTTTGTTGCCAAATTGTTGCGAGTGTTTGACAAAAATTAGAAAAGCAGCATTAAAGGTCTGTCAGGATCAAAGTGCCTCAATAATCATCTCATTCTGATTTATGGATCCACATGATGGTCAACTGCAATTTTCAGAACTGGGTGACACATTTCTTTAATTTCTTGTAATATAGAAATCGTTTAAAGATCGAGGCGTATATGCACTTAGGGAAAATAACCAGCCTTTGCCTTTTGACCTTTCAAAATTAAATTGACCCAATAAGGTAATTTTGTCACAAAATCTGTGGATGACAAACCGTCTGACAGATTTTATAGCAGTCGATGGGTTCACAATAACTGAAAACTAAATTGTGAGAAAAATCTAAGTAGCACATGATGTTTACCATAAAGTGCTTATTCAATATTATTTTATCAAATGTGAAAACCAATGATCAAACATTAGATTACAAAAATAGAATTAAAATGTTGCTTTTAATGCAATTTTCTTCTCAACAGCAACAAATACAAAGGTCCTTTTCCCATACAGGGTTTTATTAAGATACAAGTGATACTTGTTTTTATTTTTATACTTTATTTTAGAAAATACTGAAAGTGGTTAATTGGATTGTATCGCTACATGAAGCGAGGCAATGAGTTAAAATAATTCATAGTGGATGGTAAACAATTGTATATTTAATATTGATAATCCAGTCATAAAACACTTCAAAAGACAATTCAACAAAAAACAAGACTTAAAACTATACGAGTTTACTTTCACATTCTGAAAAATGACAAAAAAAACAGATTGACTTTTAACTTTAATTCAATTCAGTTTTCTCAAAAAATATTTTTTAAGCTTGAATTTTATTTTTATGTAAACACCAACCACTTTTCTACAAAAATGTTCAAATAAATGGCCAGGTGGGCTTGACTTATTCTGAAATTTTTTTCTGCTTTGAAAGGCATGACTGAGGTTTTCTGGACGTGGTTTCTTCTTCCTGGTTGCTGAAGCTCCTCACTCCCGATGGACCAACACAAAGAGACCCAGCATGAAGAGCACGGCATACTGCAGGACACAAACACGTGAAAACATCCGATGACGCTGCACACGTTTAAGTTTAAAGAAAGAAAGGAATCTCACAAGACTGGACAATTTAACAAGAACTATAAAACTTACTTTAAACTTGGGGTAATCGTTCATGAGAATGGTGACAATTCCAATATATGGCACAAACCTGGAAAATAAACAAAAATACCTGCCATGAGCTCTTCTTGCTCTGTGCATATCCAGCTTATACAAAATATGTAATTTAATAGTTTCTACAAAGACAATAAAATAACATATTTTAAGCACTCATCGGTGACATGTCACAGACGCAAACTAAATTAAATGAAAAGGAAAGGCTGTAATATTACAATGTACAGGCACATCTCAAAAGATTAGAATACTGTGGAAAAAGTTTAACACTTTTTCTCAATCATTTCAGAAAGTAAACTCATTTTACATACATACATTCATTACACACAGTTACATATTTCAAGCCTTTATTTTTTTGTAATTTTGATGATTATGGCTTACAAATAATGAAAAAACAAAATTTAGTGTCTCATAAAATTTGAATATTCCACAGCCAGCTTTTGTCAGTGTGGGCAGAAGCCAAGTCCTGCTGGAAAATAAAATCAGCATCTCCATGAAGCTCATCAGCAGAAAGAAGTCTCTAAAATGTCCTGGTAGATGCTGTGTTGACTGTGGACTCCAGAAAACACAGTGGACCAACACCAGCAGAGGGCATGGACCCAAATCATCTCTGATGGTGGAAACTTCAAACTGGACTTCAAGCAACATCAAAGTTCATGCTCAATAATCCAGGTAAATATCCAACAAAGTTCAATCAGGTCATCTGGACGGTTTCTTTTTTTGTTGAGATGTTTCATCCTTCATCAGACCGAGGAGCCACAAACTCGGTCCCACAAGCAGCGCACTCACATAGTGGACCAACTCGCCCTCTCCACCATCATCTCCTTTGAGGCAGCCATAGCCAAAGTGCTTCTTGATGTTTTGAACCACTGCCTCAGAGTGAATGCACTAACCCGTGCATTTTAGAGTTCATTTTAAAATTATTTTGTTTGATTTTAAAGTTTTAAACAGCCTTGCCCCGTCTTATTTAAACAGAGCTTCTCCACTGCTATACTCCCCCTCGGTCACTCAGGTTCGCTGATCAGCTGCTTATGGTCATTCCCAAGTATAAGCGGAAGCTTAGAGGAGACAGCGTCTTCTTTGTTAGTGCCTCTAAGTTATGGAACGCTCTGCCTTTTCACATTCAACAGCCCACTTCACTGTCCACTTTTAAAACCCATCTAAAAACTCATCTTTACTTATTGGGCTTCAACCCGAGACTTGAGTTTACTTAATTTTTATTGGTGTTGATTTTATCTGTTTAACTCGTCGTTTTATTGTGTTCTGAATTGAGTTTTTAATTCACTATTGTGTGCTTAGCTTTGTCACTTCATTTTTATGCTTTCTTTAACCTTATTCATTACTGATGTTCAGCACTTTGTTTCAGCTGTGGCTGGTGTTAAAGCAATTATAAATAAAGTAGATGATGATGATAAAGATGGATTCCTTAAATAACATGTAACTGAACTGTGAGAAGACCTAGGACTCAAATCTCCAGTGCTGACCCAAAGATGCAACAACTCTAATTCAGTCAGGACCAGCTAAAACCACAACGGACATCGAATAAAAGATCTGCTACAAATGACAAAAACAATCGTGACCTCATCGTGACCCATTCAGACCTGACAACATATGTGCGCTTAAACCTTTAGTTTGATGTGATACGAGCATCTTTACAACATTTCTAGGACAAATCATGTTTATGGTTTCTTCAAAGGCCAAAATTTAAGGTTTTAATGGACTACAAATAACCCTCTGTTTTGAATTGTTAATGTCAACATACTGAAAAAACTCATCTATATAATGGGTTTGGCGTTTTACAATATTCATTAAATTTGTTGTTTGCAACAAAGTACTTACCCTCTTGCTCTTCCCACCACATCTTTTTTCTCCAACCAGTGTTGGCCCTGCTTGTACAGCCCTCTGTCATCCACCGCATTGTTGTCGCCTTTGGTCAAGAACTTAATGTCTCCATTTTCCCTAAGAACAAAAGTATCAGTATGATTTTTAAACAGCAAAGGCAGAAAGGTCCATTTTTATCCCCTGCATGGATAAAAATTCATGTTGGATGTGAAGTCTTACAGCCTTTTCTGAACGTTGTTTTAGTGGCAACAAAGATATTTAATTGACAGGAAAATGACTCAAGAAGAAAATTTAAAAAATGAATTTATACTTTTCATGGATCTTTAGTACTCTGTGTACTATTGGGATCTCTCTGCCTTCTATTCTGAAGACAACAATCTCTCCAACCCTGATGGGGTCTTCTACCCGGTTGGTCAAAAACAAGAGGTCTCCTCTGTGGAATGCTGGCTCCATACTCCCACTAAAATTAAGAACATGAATAACAAATGTTAGCAAGTATAATTAGAATAAATTAAATGGGACATTGCACATAATCAAAAGGCCTATCATTCTTGGAAGGAATGTAAATTTAAAAGATTTTAAAAGATTGTCTTATGATGAGGAATGTTGGAGTTGTAGTCATTTTGGTTAAACTATGTAAAATGATTGTATGTATATCAAGATTGAATGTAGGCTCATCATTTTAGGCTATATGAGCAGCATAACAGATCTAGGCAAGCATGTCCTTTTTCGGATTAGAAATAGGTGCATTATGACCCAAAATAAATAAATAAGTTTGTTAAGCTGCGCAAAAATCTAATTTTCAAAAACTGTCCATCACTGACTTCACTGTTGGTCGCCTCCAAACAATCCCTCAAATCCTGTGCTGTATTTGGTAAATGGTGCTAAACAACAAACACGGCGGTATCCATGAAATGGCTCGTGGACACGGTATCTCATAGGACACTGTGAGATCTCACAAGATGCACTAATACTTAGAGCATGATATTTATGTTTCCTGGAATATCTTGCAAAAAGATCCGAAGCTCTCGACCTTGACCTCTCAGAGGCTTTAAGCATCTGTTGGACTCCTGGCAAGAACCAGTGCAGACATGTTCCTGTTTTAGTTTTCTACATTTGCTTTATAATCTAGCTGTTTTTTGCTACTTTTTTTGGCCATCTTGTTTTAATTTGTAAAAAAAATAATAATAATCTGTATGCCTCTTTTATGATTGTTTGTTGTCGTTGTTGTCATCACTCTTTGTTGAAATCAGGTCTCTCTTTTAAATGAGTCCTCGTCGCCCAATGGGATTAACCTGTCTAAATAAAGGTTGAATGAATGTGTTTAAGAATTCTCAGTTACTACCACCTAAATAGCTTGTTATCCATTAAGTTTTTTTTTGGGAGGGGGGCAGTTAGAAAAGTTTGACTAGCTGGGGCTGCCATCTTGAATTGGCTAATTCAGTCAGTTGTAGATGTATACTGAAAGTGCCAACGCTTAAAGCAAAAGCGCTGTGTAATGTGTAGTGCTCAGAGTAGGAGTTAAGGCTCACTCTCAGCCACTACCATAAACATTATATGGATATCTGAATTATGAGAGTTGGAGCCATTTTAATACTTGAAGCTATATCGCAGTGGTGGCCATCATAACTGTGTTTGCTCCAAAAGTTAATCAGTCTTTGACTATTGTGATAGAGTGATTATGTTTTGTCAATTCCATAAAAATGAGATATGGTAAGAGCTAAACCATTATAGTTCTTTCATTGATAAGTTAACTAATTATAACATATTCCCACCTAAAGAGACAGCAGAAATTAAGTTGTAGCACGCGATGAACCTACCTGAGAACAACAACAATAGGACTTTCACTGCCGGTGACAACCATCAGCCCTTTCCAGATCATCAGAGCAGAAGAAACTATCATACCAAAGTTCAGCACCTGGTAATACAACTGGAAGCAAAATAATTCATCAGTTTGCATGCTTTTTTTGTGTCTAAAACAAACTAGCCTGAGACCAACTTAAATCTACATGTACACAAGTATTTGTGGCAGCTGTTGTCAGTTTCAGACAACAGTGTGTGCTAAAGTAGCAAAACAGCTAGCTATAGTGCGGATAATTCTGTTGTTTACACGAGGTTTGCACATTTTTCCTTCACGCAGCAGTATTTAAGAGATATCTGAAAGAAAACATGAGAATAAAGCAGTTCTCTCTGTAGCTTTTCAACTACAGACAGACAGGCAAGCGGTTTTAAGCTAGTCGTGGTTAGCTGTGAGACGTGCTTCCGTACAAAGACTCTTTGTTGCGGAAACTAAAGCTGAGATTCTTACCTGCCGCTTATTCATGCGACGAACATCGTCTAGAAAGTCTAAAGACAACATTGTTGCAAATACTACAGCGTAAAACACGGAAAAATCACATTAACACGTCGAAAGTAACTAGCATATGGAGGAACAACTTGCATCTGATTTTTCCGGGTCTGCGCCACCGGAAGTCCCGCCTCCCTGCGTGCGCCGTGTTGAGCTGTCGCTTCTGGATACGAGAGTTCAGTGGAGGGGCTTTCCCAAACTCACCCAAAACTGTGCTCTTTGAATCTAACAACTCATTACAAACGACAGATATCTTCCTATATGAGTAAACTACGGAAAATATTTCGGGCCACGGTGAAAAAAAAAAAATCGGATTATTATTATTTTATAATTCTGTGATTAAAGTCAAAATTCCGTCTTTTGACCCAGAATCCTGAGGAAAGAGTCAGAATTCTGACTTCAAGAAGTCTGACTTTAAATTTAACATTCTGACATTAATATCAGCTTAAAGGGGTGGGGGGTGGAATCAGATTTTTAGCTTTCATCATAGACTTCTGAGTTTCTGAGATGAATGTCACATCTGAGATTTATTTATTAAAGTTAGTATTCTTACATAAATCTCAGACTTTAATCTGAGAATTCTGATTTCAGTCTCCAAATTCTGACTTTGATATTAAAATTCTGAAGTTTATCTCAATAGTCTGAGAAAAAAAAAACAGCAGCATTTTAGTTTTTATCACATAATTCCAATCCTGAGATGATGGTATTGAGTCAGAATAATAATTTAATCGGAATTCTGAAGAAAAAAAAATCCATTGTGACCCTGATCTTCTGCAGCAAACTGTTTACCAAATGCTAACAACATTTTTGCAGTGTTGTTTTAATGTAATTACACACCCATTTGATGAAATGAAACACCAACACTGATTACTGCTTGTGTTAAAAGTGTCCTTAGTTTCTGCTGTAAAAGCTTTTTTAAATGCATTTATTGTAACAATTATGTGAAAAGTTTCTTAAGCCTTAAACATGTTGTTTTATTATTTTTTTTATATCAGCAATTGGGAAATAAAGAGTAGATGTGGATAGATAGAGGACAGATATTGTGACCAGTTCTGGTCTAACAAACACATCCTACATCATATAGCTTGTGACTTGTCCAGGGTGTCCCCCGCCTCTTGCACAGCGATTGTTGGATATGGGCACCAGTGGCCCCCAGAAAGGAAGAAGTGGGTAACGATAATGGATGGATGGATGGGTGGGTATTTTCCAATACCAATACCTTTTCCAATACCTTTTCAACTCATCCCAAATTAGTTGAAAAGAAGGCGCCGTGGACCAATTCCCGTCAACCTGGCGGCGGTGCTCGAGTACCTGAATGGGAGGACCAGGATCATCCCCCGGCACTTACAGCTGTCTGTCCGTGGCGACGAGGAGCTTGGCAGACTGCTGGAAGGAGTGCCCATCGCTCAGGAAGGAATTCTGCCCAGCATTCGGGCAGTCCTGCTGCCCAGGAGGACCGAGAGGCCCGCCGGATCTGACAGCAAGCTGGATACAGGTGGACGGATCGGTATCTGTGGACAGATTCTTCAGATTCGCTGCAGGAGATCCTTCCAGCCCACAGCTGTCAGCATCTATAACAACTCTTGAATAAAACCAGGATGATGAGGTACAGCAACACTTAAAATTTCCCTTTGAGAGGAATAAAGTGTTTTTGAATTTAATTTAATTGTATTATAAACAATACAGGTGGACGGATCGGTATCTGTGGCCAGATTCTTCAGATTCGCTGCAGGAGATCCTTCCAGCCCACAGCTGTCAGCATCTATAACAACTCTTGAATGAAACCAGGATGATGAGGTACAGCAACACTTAAAATTTCCCTTTGAGAGGAATAAAGTGTTTTTGAATTTAATTTAATTGTATTATAAACAGCTATCATATGAAATGATGTGACAAAAGATCAAGCCATTTGGTGTTTGTCTTGTCTAAAATGTCTAATTTTGCTAACAAAATAAACACACAAATTAAAAAGTTAAAAATGTAAGGAATACCTTTTCAAAGTCCCCAGGCTCTACAGCCTGCTGAGGACTCCTTGGACAAGCCGCTGAACCCCCCCCCCCCCCCATACACACACACACACACACACCGCCCTCAAAATGCTTGTTGCTGTATGAATGAGAACATGAACGCTCTGTATAGAAAATGTAGAAAGCACCATAGATGAGGCATTTTGAAACTCTTTAGTGAGAGCCTCTCCTGTGTAATAAGTGATAATTGGTTACTTTCATTACAGTTATAAGTGCACACAATAACACTCACAATATAAACACAGCTGTTTTCCAGTTTCCACATGTGAGCCTGCTTATGAGTATTACACTGTGACCGAGTGTGTCATAAACCAGACAATCACTAATGAAGGACGTGAATTAATAATTCATGACAATAATGGCAGCCTCAAAAGGAAGGTAAACTTTACTCTCCAAATAAAGATAGGTTTCCACTACAACGTTGATCAACACTTCTCTGTAATATTCTCACCAAAACACTGGGATGCCTTTTATGAACGGTTTCTTTATGATCAATCTAATTTCCTACAGGAAGTTTCTATGACTCAGGGAGTGATAGCATGATTAATGGCCCCCCTCTACAACCCATCTGACCCCTCTGCTTGTTGACTCAGGCCTGTGCAGCTGACAAGGAGCACATGTTTGCACCACCATTAAAACATCAGGTTTTATGTTGTTATTTTTATGACTCGTTTATTTTAAGTAGTTTTAATTTTACACGCTTGTTTTTCTGCCTTCTGGTTTGATGTCCTCTGACGAGCGTTGCTGTATTTCTTTTTGTTGACGATTTTGTGGTCCAGTTACGGCAACGCCATAAATAAGCACAAACGTCCAAATAATTATTTAGATTTCATTTTTAAAAGTTATCTCAGGGATTCAAAATTTGTCTTTTATTTTCTAATTGTTGGTATTTGTCATGCGATTTTATTAAAATGAACTTTATTTAGTTAGAGTCTCCCTTCTGAGTTTGAATTAAAGCAATACAGTTTATCTAACTGTGAATCCTTTTACAGTTTGGGTTTAATAATTTAAACAAAAGCTGTGAACACTAAACGCTTCATTCATCACAAGATTAGACACAAACACAATTCATGTGGAACATGTGAACATGCATGTGTAGGAAAACTCGCAGCTGTTTGGTTCACTTACCTTGCAAAGTTGAGTTAGTCATTAACTTGACTATGGTTGTGCTTTTTTCTTCTTCTTCTTTCTTTTGTGTGTAATTTAACCGATGTCCAAACGTCAGAACAGAAAACTATTAGAATTGGGAGTAAAAAGAGCAAAAGTATTTATGTAAAAACTTACTTTCAACAACTGCTTCTAAAAGGTTTTACTGTAATTGTGAATGTTTATGAAGCAATCGCACAATTGTGATCCATTTTTCTCCCGTACATTTTTCAGCATCTTTTTCGTTCCACAATTTTTTGCTATTTCAAGAAATCACATGTTGCCAATTCGGGAGAAGGGTGCTATGACTTTTGGTATTGGTGCATCTTTAGCATTTTGAAATATTTAGCATTTCTGCCATTTTTTCCTCATAGAAAATGAATTAAGCTCATTTTATATCCTTGAAATCTTTAAATCTGTTCACAACCGTTTACTGCTCCTTTCACATTTTGTTCTGGTTCAGCTTCTTTCAGCTTTCTTGTGCAAATTTAAACTTTTGTTCAGCTACTTTCAGCTGTTTCCTTCAGCTGTTTTGTGATCCTTTTAGATTCTTTCTGCTAACTACATGTTTGTGCTTCTTCTAATTTCTTTCTGCTAAATTCAACTTATTATGCTCCTTCCATTATTTATGTGTCTCAACTTTTTCCTGCTATTTTAGCTGCTATTTAGCTGTTTTTATGCTAATTTTAGCTTTTTTGGCTAATTTCTAATTTTTTTGCACTCATTTCAACTTTTTTCAGCCTAATTCAGCAAAAAAATGTGCTCTCTCCATTTCCTTTTGGTAATGTAAGCTTCTTTTTGACTTTTTAGCTACTCTTCAGCTGTTTTTTGCTAATATCAGCATTTTCAGATAATTTCCACTTTTTTGTGCTCATTTCTGCTTTCTGCAAACATGTTCTTTCTGTTTCTTTTTGCTAATTTAAGCTTGTTCTACCCTTTTGACTAGTTTTTTAGCATTTTTTTTAGCTAATTTAAACTGTTTTCAGATAAATTCTAGATTTCCGTGGTCATTTCAGTCTGATTAACTTTTTTGTGCTAATTTCAGCTTGTTATGTTCCTTCAAGCTTTATTCTGCTAGTTTCAGTTTTTATGCCATTTCAGCGACTTGTTAACTGTTTTTATGCTAATCTTAGCTTTATCAGCTAATTCCACATTTTTGGAGCTCATTTCAGCTCTTTCCACCGGAAATGCAATTTCTATAGTTTATGGAGGGGGGGTGGATCAAAGGCCTGTGGATGGGCCTGTGATTGGAAGGTCGCTGGTTGTACTCCCTGTACCGACAACATCAAAATATGGGTGGGATTGGTGAAGCACCCACACCTGCCTCCACCCTCATTTGCCCCACTCTGAGCCCTTCAGCAAGTCCCTTAACCCCACCATCTGCTCCCCTGGGTGCCCTAAATAGCAGCTCTCTGCTCCACACAGAGAGCTGTGGTAACTCGGTGGTCTGTGGTTGCGTCAGGAAGAGCATCTGGAGTAAAATTGTCAAGTTTTTGTGGGTGTTGGTCCGCTGTGGCGACGCCAAAAGAAGGAAGCAGCCGAAATTTAAAAAAAAAAGTTTATTTACAATACATACATACATGGTCCATGCAATTATATTCCTAAAAATATTTTTTAAAAATCAGATAAACAGATGTGGTATAAAATAAAATAAATTCCAAACATTGTAATTTCCTCCTATATTTGCACCAACAAGTTATTTAATAAGGAGCTGATGACTCCAGTCCTGTGTGCGCTCTTAAAGAGTTTGAGAAAACTCAAAAATAAAAACAAGTGAACTGAATATCTGAAAGTAAGAGGGATGTCCAAAAAGAAACCTGGTACCAGTTTTAAGAAGTTTAGCAATTCACCAGAAACTCGTCTGAAATAGTCTCAGGGTATAAAACAGTCAACATGGTTGACGATTGCAAAACTGCACAAAACCTGAAATAAAAATGGACATTAAAACTTTTCTAGG